CCCCCCCACACACACACACACACACTTTTCGGATAAAATAAAGCTACTATGGTGTGAAGACGTAGATGCAGAGGAAGGGGCGCGTACATGCCTACTATTTCGGAAAAAAAGATAAGCTAATATCACTGGAATACATGCATTCGTACAAATTCAAAAGATCATCACAAAATGTTGAGATCCACGCAATTTGAAGCGTAAGATATTGAAAATTTTAATTAATCAATTTGTTATGCATATATATTCCATGAATACAGCAAAAGTTTCGAAGCTAACCCAAACCAATGTTTCGTTGTATGAAGTGACTGATCGGCACCCGTGTAGCCAGGATTCTGTCCAATTTTTCCAAAGACGAAATACAAGCTTATCAAGATTCAGCATTACAATCTTTCCGGATACCAATTAATGAAAGGTATACGGATCTGCCTCGTTTGTATTGAATTCCTAAATTTGACCAAATTCCTTATAAACAGCATTTTATCGCTGGCTCTTCTAGCTGCTCTCCTAGGCGATATTAATATATGGCTGTAATCTGTTTTGGAGCATTTTGGCGAAAAGCACAACAAAAGCCAAAATAGTATTATCGAGAGTTCGTTGTTGACATCGTCATCGTTTAGTTCAGTGGCGAGATTTTCTGGCACGCGCGGGTCAAATGTAAACAGTAAAATAGGGATGGCAGGCATATAATATATACAATACGTTTTCAAATTGCGTGGAACGAAAAATAACCTTCAAAAGCCGAATGAGGACAGCCAATGGAGACAAGAGGTGGAGAGGATAAGATGTTCAAGTTCAGATAAGGAATCAAGGAATCAATGAAGCTCTCATTCAAACGGAAATGGAGTGGCATGAATGTAAAAGATCAGGAATAGTAAAGCTTTTACGTATCTATGTCTAAGGAACGCAAGGTTTTCATAGGGTATAATTAATTAAAGGAAAGGTAATAGCATCACGGTTCATTTGTGATAAAGTTTTCTTTCCTAGGATCTATGGACCATATGTTATTTATAATGCGGCTTTAAACGAATCCGTTAATTAATAAAGTGTCTAGGCCGAAAGTACCGAATCGGGACTGGACTGACATAGATAACGCCATACATAAAAACATAGAAAGTAGCGTACTATGATAACGTTGACCTATAATTTGTTACTGTGACCTTGAACTTTGTGGAACTTGTGAGTAGTATGTGAACCTGTCTAGTCATGATACACTGGAGAAACATTGTAATGATGTAGAGTATGACCTTTGGAACAATCAACTATGAGTGGTAAGCGACACAGTATTGTCATGATACATATATTTATGAAGTTTATCGAAAATGTTTAGCCGTTCAGTTCAAAATTCCTAGGTAATCATTTGTATCATACATTGGATTAACCATGCCTTTTAGGTTGCTGTGACATTTGAGTGTGAAAAAACAAATCTGAAATTAGTACGCGTCACACCGTTTAGTCACGTGCATCTAATTACGTGATTTATGAAGTTTTATAAAACTGTTCAATCATATAGAATACGGATTGTTATCATTTGACCAATTATCTATGATGTGGTATTTCAGATATTATTGCTGAGATTAGTAGACGGGATATTATTATCCTCCGATATCACAAAAAGGGGACAAAGGATAATATTTTGCATGCTTTTGTATGTGAAAGAAAGTTCCTATCCCCTAATTACATTTTGTTCATTAGTAAATTTCACTTTCTGATTAGAAAAAATGGCGTCGGTATTGCTGCGATCCTTGAATCGATCTAGTTATCCGTGTTCTGCATCAGAAATCATGGACAAAACGGCGTGTATGTTTGTTAAATCAGTTCCAGGCTTGACAGAACATGTGTACCGGAACACTCTCCTAATCGAGTAATCAATGAAAGTTTATCATTAGGAAGCGTGACAGTGTCATGTTGTCTTATACGCACGAACGAAACGATTACCTACTGCTAATTACTATACGTGTTTATTTTCCGGCATATGTTGTAGATGTCGCTCCATGGTGAAGAAAGTGAGCCGTGATGGGAAAGGATTGTCAATATATACTACAATTTAGTGTGTATCTGATGACGTAATAAGTTTGAAAGTAGACATACTTTTGAAAAGTATATTTTCATTTTCACTGAAAGTTTCTCTCTAATCATTGTCAGGAGAAATTGCGTTCATAGAGCTATGAACGCAGTTTGATCGGCGTCATTATTAAGCTTCTCCTCCCGCTTCGATTAACATGTCCATTAAGTTAAACATTTTGTTACTTACCCAAACATAACAGTTATCAATTCCTTGGTTGGCTGCCATTATAAGATACAGTTATATTTCGATGTTTATCAAATCTGCGTGAGTCTTCGTGGAAGGTAAAAGGTGAGAAGGAAAATGGTATGTAAGGCAGAACAAACAAACTCATTTATTTTTGTTATTTACTCGAGCAACTTAATATCCATATTCCATCGATATTATGATGCTTCTGATGCTCAACCATAATCTTCAATCTGCAAAATGGCCGAATAAAAAATCGGTAAAACACGTATAAAACTACTCACACAGCTTATTATAATTTTCATATGTGAATTATACTATAAAAATATCGATCACTTCTATATAAGGACGATTTATGTCCGCATCGTTTCTCATCCATAATTTAACAGTGTGTCCCTTCGGTGGCAAGTTAAAAAAGGAAGATTTGCATAACGCTCACGTGCGACGTGTCTACATGTAACGTCATGAAGCCAAATGTACGCATCGCTTCATCGTGTTATGTATTGAAGTTAGACATTTCATTATTTTCCAATCTAAACTAAAATCATTTCCGATTTAATTCGGAGATAAAGAACACTAAAAAGTTCGTTGAAATATTTCAAACGTCAAGGAGGGGGTAACCCCATATTTCCGGGTTTATTGCGAAGGGATAAACTATAAATCCATATCACCGGGAGAGAAAAGCGAAGAAAACAAACTGGGATAAGTCGTCGATTTCATCGCTTTTGACATTAAACTATTTTCAAAAGTTATCCTGATAAGATATAAGATAAGTAGACTTCATTCGATTTGTTATATTTATGCTCCAATATTACCGCCCTGCTACTTTTGAGGGGGCGCCAATGTCATCTGGTTAAACATTTTTGAGCACTTACCTCGATTATATCGTCTGAACCATACACAGCATGATGATTAAACGACTGCCGTGGCCTCGTTTTGATACGTTGAACAATTACCAACTCCGAATTACTTAAAAAAAACCGCCACAAAACTTACAAAACAGGTGTGACACTTGTCGTGTGAAAGTTAACAGTCTTCCCATTGTTTAGCCCTTTAATAATAATATTATCCCGGGATTTGCTCAAATATGTAACCGGTATTTTATCTTAGAATCGAAAATACCTTTTTCTATTACCTAAATACATAATAAAACCCGGTACAACAAACGAAATAAATCCTAAAAATATATATAAAAAAAATAAATTAAAAAATTAAAAGATAGAAATAGATAATATAAAAAATCCTCACTTTCTTCTGCTTTTTGACAATTTTTCTGATCAATTCACCTTCTTTCACTCACAAGACCACAACTCCATTTGATTACTCTAGGTGATATTTTAAAGCAACAGCAAATACAACAACCACGTTTTATAATACATCGTAAAATTAATTTAGGGTGAATCCCTACTAAAGAAATGTTCGTGATAAAAGCTTTCATTATCATCTTAAGCGTTTGATGCAAAGAACTCTCCTACATCTTCAGAGAAACTTTGTGTGTGGATGTTACACTTAACTTCAGATTTGTTTAAGTAAGACCATGGCTGCATACAAATTATTCTTATATGCATCACTAAAACACAGATGAAAGAAAAATGGAAATTAAAGCTCGGTAGAAAGGAGGAAAATGTATAGGGGGTTGTCATGGTGTACTTACATTTGATGGTAAATCATTTTACATATCACATGGATTTCTACTCCACCTCTTCATCGAGCGATAGTCCGATGAAGTCCAATTTATTTTCAGTCTTTAGGTGATCCTCAACCATACTGTAACTGCAAAGAACAACTTTATAATGAGAAATAATTCAGGACGCCATTTTACTTTTACACGATACCATCTTTATCTGCGAGAGTAATAGGCGACAATGTCATCTTGACACTTACGACCGCGTTGGAGTATGGCATGGCACTCGTCCCCCCCACCCCCGCCCCCAACACACACAAATCTAGAAATACCTCTACATCACCATGTTATCATCATGTTGCTTAGTTGTGGCTGCTGCTACTATCACCTCGTCCTTAGACCTGTCAATGAACAGAAGTGTACGGGAAGGATATTTCGAGATCCACTCAGAAAATGGACTTGTGAAAAATAGCCAAATTAAAAAAGTGACATGCAAGACCAACACGGAAAGCGATACATAAATAGTGAAAATAACCTGATTGTGGAAGCTACAAACAACGTGAAGCGATAGCAACACGGAAAAGCAACTATTATCTGGGGTATTGGAAAGTGACAACAAACAAAAAGCAACTAATAAGGCAAACCGAAAAACAACACTAAAAAGCAACAAACAGAGTGAGCCGACCAACAAAAATAGCGACAAATAGAGTGAGGCGACAAACAAGTAAAGCGACAAATAGAGTGAGGCGACCAACCAGAAAGTAATAAATAGAGTGAGGTGACAAACAAGAAAAGCGACAAATAGAGTGAGGCGACCAGCCAGATAAGTAACAAACAGAGTGAAGCGACCAACCAGATAAGTAACAAACAGAGTGAGGCGACCAACCAGAAAAGTAACAAACAGAGTGAGGCGACCAACCAGAAAAGTAGCAAACAGAGTGAGGCGACCAACCAGAAAGTAATAAATAGAGTGAGGTGACCAACCAGAAAAGTCACAAAAAGAGTGAGGCGACCAGCCAGAAAAGCGACAAATAGAGTGACGTGACCAACCAGATAAGTAACAAACAGAGTGAGGCGACCAGCCAGAAAAGCGACAAATAGAGTGAGGTGACCAACCAGAAAAGCAACAAACAGAGTGAGGCGACCAGCCAGAAAGGCGACAAACAGAGTGAGGTGACCAACCAGATAAGTAACAAACAGAGTGAGGCGACCAGCCAGAAAAGCGACAAATAGAGTGAGGCGACCAACCAGAAAAGCAACAAACAGAGTTGGGCGACCAACCAGAAAAGCGACAAACAGAGTGAGGCAACCAACCAGAAAAGCGACAAACAGAGTGAGGCGCCCAACCAGAAAAGCGACAAACAGAGTGAGGCGACCAACAAGAAAAGCAACAAACCGAGTGAGGCGACCAACCAGAAAAGCGACAAACACAGTGAGGCGACCAACCAGAAAAGTAACAAACAGAGTTGGGCGACCAACCAGAAAAGCGACAAACAGAGCGAGGCGACCAACCAGAAAAGCAACAAACCGAGTGAGGCGACCAACCAGAAAAGCGACAAACAAAGTGAGGCGACCAACCAGAAAAGCAACAAATCGAGTGAGGCGACCAACCAGAAAAGCGACAAACATAGTGAGGCGACCAACCAGAAAAGTAACAAACAGAGTAAGGCAACCAACCAGAAAAGAAACAAATAGAGTGAGGCGACCAACCAGAAAAGCGACAAAAAGAGTGAGGCGACCAACCAGAAAAGCAACAAACCGAGTGAGGCGACCGACCAGAAAAGCGACAAACAGAGTGAGGCGACCAACAAGAAAAGCAACAAACCGAGTGAGGCGACCAACCAGAAAAGCGACAAACAGAGTGAGGCGACCAACCAGAAAAGCGACAAACATAGTGAGGCGACCAACCAGAAAAGTAACAAACAGAGTAAGGCAACCAACCAGAAAAGTAACAAATAGAGTGAGGCGACCAACCAGAAAAGCGACAAACAGAGTGAGGCGACCAACATGGGACATGAAAAAACAATAAGAAGCAATAAACACAGAGCAGCGGCAAACAAATGTTATACACATGTTTGTACACAATATCTGTTATTTCAAACTTAATGAATTGGTCAAACATTAACCATGTGTCTTCATGATAGAATTTCTACTGCGAACAAATCATCGACTTTAATCAATAGCAGCAGATTTTTTGTTCAAGACAAATAACAAAAATAAAAGTATAAAATCACCTAGTCTATCCCATTTTTAAAACAAAAGCAAAACAGCAAAAGCGCGTGTTTTTAGCTTCATACGGAGAGTGATTTATGGGGAAATCGTACATCCGTAAGTATGATTAGCTGTTGACGTAACCGATTTTGTAAGTGGTTAGAAAGGATGACCTGGCGGCTAAAGTACATTGATATTATCTAACTTCTACAAGTACCGGTAATGGCAACGTCATCTCCAGGTACTAGACATGAAACCCTCGAGACATTGTCCGGTTAACGTGCGGAAACCGGTGAAGAAAGTGTTCCTGTGAAAGTGAATATAGTGAGTTAACGTCAACATCGTAACCGAACAGAACAGGGATTTTAACGTCATATAGAGTGACGTGTCATAAGTCGTTCACGTTACGTTATCACTTTTCATCCCAGCATTAAAGCTACCCTTTGAGGTAATTCCCATAGAGACAATGTTACATTTTGTCGTAAAAATAGTTTTGCCAAGTAACCCATCATGGTTAAAATTTTATGAAACGGATAATTATATTAATATTACCAAGATTTTTTTTTCTAGCTTCGTGATCGATTTCATCAATTTTTGAGGATAAAACCCCGAAGCCAGTAAAATTAATTTCCCCAAACTATATCCACAGAGAATCCACCTGGAAAATGACGTAACGTGACAGACCTATGGCATGACTGTTTAAACGGGGAATTCAAATAAACGTTGACATCTTGACCATATATAGTGCCGAGTTAGGAGTAAGCGTCGACTCCGTGATGTTATAGAGCCTGGAAGCTAAACGTTCATCCCGTGAACAGACTTGGAATGTGTCGACCCCTTTACCATATAGAGCCTGAAGATGTTTATGTCGACCCCTTTACCGTATAGAGCCTGAAGATGTTTACGTCGACCTCGTTACCAAGTAGAGCCTGAAGATGTTTAAGTCGATCCCGTTACCATATAGAGCCTGAAGGTGTTTATGTCAAATCCGTTACCATATAGAGCCTGAAGATGTTTACGTCAACCCCGTTACCATATAGAGCCTGAAGATGTTTTTGTCGACCCCGTTACCATATAGAGCCTGAAGATGTTTATGTCGACCCCGTTACCATATAGAGCCTGAAGATGTTTATGTCGACCCCGTTACCATATAGAGCCTGAAGATGTTTATGTCGACCCCGTTACCATATAGAGCCTGAAGATGTTTATGTCGACCCCGTTACCATATAGAGCCTGAAGATGTTTATGTCGACCCCGTTACCATATAGAGCCTGAAGATGTTTATGTCGACCCCGTTACCATATAGAGCCTGAAGATGTTTATGTCGACCCCGTTACCATATAGAGCCTGAAGATGTTTATGTCGACCCCGTTACCATATAGAGCCTGAAGATGTTTATGTCGACCCCGTTACCATATAGAGCCTGAAGATGTTTATGTCGACCCCGTTACCATATAGAGCCTGAAGATGTTTATGTCGACCCCGTTACCATATAGAGCCTGAAGATGTTTATGTCGACCCCGTTACCATATAGAGCCTGAAGATGTTTATGTCGACCCCGTTACCATATAGAGCCTGAAGATGTTTATGTCGACCCCGTTACCATATAGAGCCTGAAGATGTTTATGTCGACCCCGTTACCATATAGAGCCTGAAGATGTTTATGTCGACCCCGTTACCATATAGAGCCTGAAGATGTTTATGTCGACCCCGTTACCATATAGAGCCTGAAGATGTTTATGTCGACCCCGTTACCATATAGAGCCTGAAGATGTTTATGTCGACCCCGTTACCATATAGAGCCTGAAGATGTTTATGTCGACCCCGTTACCATATAGAGCCTGAAGATGTTTATGTCGACCCCGTTACCATATAGAGCCTGAAGATGTTTATGTCGACCCCGTTACCATATAGAGCCTGAAGATGTTTATGTCGACCCCGTTACCATATAGAGCCTGAAGATGTTTATGTCGACCCCGTTACCATATAGAGCCTGAAGATGTTTATGTCGACCCCGTTACCATATAGAGCCTGAAGATGTTTATGTCGACCCCGTTACCATATAGAGCCTGAAGATGTTTATGTCGACCCCGTTACCATATAGAGCCTGAAGATGTTTATGTCGACCCCGTTACCATATAGAGCCTGAAGATGTTTATGTCGACCCCGTTACCATATAGAGCCTGAAGATGTTTATGTCGACCCCGTTACCATATAGAGCCTGAAGATGTTTATGTCGACCCCGTTACCATATAGAGCCTGAAGATGTTTATGTCGACCCCGTTACCATATAGAGCCTGAAGATGTTTATGTCGACCCCGTTACCATATAGAGCCTGAAGATGTTTATGTCGACCCCGTTACCATATAGAGCCTGAAGATGTTTATGTCGACCCCGTTACCATATAGAGCCTGAAGATGTTTATGTCGACCCCGTTACCATATAGAGCCTGAAGATGTTTATGTCGACCCCGTTACCATATAGAGCCTGAAGATGTTTATGTCGACCCCGTTACCATATAGAGCCTGAAGATGTTTATGTCGACCCCGTTACCATATAGAGCCTGAAGATGTTTATGTCGACCCCGTTACCATATAGAGCCTGAAGATGTTTATGTCGACCCCGTTACCATATAGAGCCTGAAGATGTTTATGTCGACCCCGTTACCATATAGAGCCTGAAGATGTTTATGTCGACCCCGTTACCATATAGAGCCTGAAGATGTTTATGTCGACCCCGTTACCATATAGAGCCTGAAGATGTTTATGTCGACCCCGTTACCATATAGAGCCTGAAGATGTTTATGTCGACCCCGTTACCATATAGAGCCTGAAGATGTTTATGTCGACCCCGTTACCATATAGAGCCTGAAGATGTTTATGTCGACCCCGTTACCATATAGAGCCTGAAGATGTTTATGTCGACCCCGTTACCATATAGAGCCTGAAGATGTTTATGTCGACCCCGTTACCATATAGAGCCTGAAGATGTTTATGTCGACCCCGTTACCATATAGAGCCTGAAGATGTTTATGTCGACCCCGTTACCATATAGAGCCTGAAGATGTTTATGTCGACCCCGTTACCATATAGAGCCTGAAGATGTTTATGTCGACCCCGTTACCATATAGAGCCTGAAGATGTTTATGTCGACCCCGTTACAATATAGAGCCTGAAGATGTGTATGTCGACCCCGTTACAATATAGAGCCTGAAGATGTTTATGTCGACCCCGTTACCATATAGAGCCTGAAGATGTTTACGTCGACCCCGTTACAATATAGAGCCTGAAGATGTGTATGTCGATCCCGTTACCATATAGAGCCTGAAGATGTTTATGTCGACCCCGTTTCCATATAGAGCCTGAAGATGTTAATGTCGACCCCGTTACCATATAGAGCCTGAAGATGTTTATGTCGTCCCCGTTACCATATAGAGCCTGAAGATGTTGATGTCGACCCCGTTACCATATAGAGCCTGAAGATGTGTATGTCGACCCCGTTACCATATAGAGCCTGAAGATGTTGATGTCGACCCCGTTACCATATAGAGCCTGAAGATGTTTACGTCGACCCCGTTACAATAGAGCCTGAAGATGTGTATGTCGATCCCGTTACCATATAGAGCCTGAAGATGTTTATGTCGACCCCGTTACCATATAGAGCCTGAAGATGTTAATGTCGACCCCGTTACCATATAGAGCCTGAAGATGTTTATGTCGTCCCCGTTACCATATAGAGCCTGAATATGTTTACGTCGATCATATTCCCGTGGAGAGATTATGAAGTTAACGTCGACTCCATAACATAGAGACGTAGGAGTTCACGTACACCACGTGACCGTGAAAAGACCAAGTTTTGCGTCACATAAAATCCAATAAGAAAATAACATAACGTGATAGACCTGTGGCATCTCGCTGTATAAACGGGGAATTTAAATTAACGTTGACATCGTGGTCTTATACCATCGACTCCAAGACCATATAGACGGTTCGTTTACGTCGATTCCGTGACCGTCTAGAGACAATTGACTGTGTTTGGAGTACAGCTTACACGTCGATATGATTACAAGACAGAGAAGTAAAGTGAACAACACACGCGGGTAACACAACAATCTAAAACCTTCTCAAGTTACAGCAATCCCAGCAACGTCACATTGTTGCTCAAACACCTGCTGGCGGAAACACTTTAGGTCGTTCTAACAAGAGTACCGCGGTGCGGAACAAACAAAGGACAAGAACTTTTGCAAAAATTGACGAATCAAAATTCTTTTAGGGGAGACAAAACTTCATATCATGATTATAATGTAAACCAAGTTTCAAAGAGATCCGTTGAAAATTGTAGGAGAAGATTGCCAGATAAAAGTCAAATACTGAAATAAACAAAGGGCAATAACTTTAGCAAAAATTGTTGAATCAAAATTCTTTTCAAGGAAACACAACAACATATCACGATTAGTTAGCCTACTAAGTTTTAAAGAAATCCGTCAAAAAATGTAGGAGAAGATCTCCGGACAAAAAAACAATTACTGAAATGAACAAAGGGCAATAACTTTTGGAAAAATTGTCGAATCAAAATTCTTTTAAGGGAGACACAACTTCATATCATGATTATAATGTATACCAAGTTTCAAAGAGATTGGTCGAAAAATGTAGGAGAAGATTGCCGGACAAACAAAAGTTTATGTCGGACGGACAGATGGACAACCCCATACCATAATACTTCCGTTAAATTTGACGGGCGTATAAAAAGGGATCCTAGAAGGATCTTGGTGCCCACCATGAAAGGATCTTAATCATATCTACAAAAAATAATATTGTTATTTCTTTGCTTTACATTTTCCATACAGGTACTATTACCCATTCCCATATTTGAAATCCTAAACGGAAACCTGTCCATTACCTTAACCCTCCTAATGTCACATGTTATTTGCCCTCCTCATTGTATAAGATTTGTCAATGAGGGATGAATTCTCATAAGGGTCAGGGGTATTTTAATAAGGGGATCAAGAGGAACATATATATTAAATGTATCAAAAATACCTCCAGTACTTTCTGAGAAGCTTAAAAGAGATGACAAAACTTAACCCTTTCATCCCTATGTAACTTTAGTAGACTCTACCATGCATTGATCTGGATGAGTCCATTATGGTCTAAAGTGGTGAAAGGGTTAAAATGGAAGATGGCAACCAGTTGGCAGTTTTTTTTTTCCAGTCAGTCTTAAAAGTGAACATGCACACATAGAGTCCAAGGGTCCTATATATTTAATTCAGAAAGATCCCTCAAGTACTTTCTGAGAAAAAGGGATAACAAGTCTTCAACTGTCAAAATCCCACATGGCAATCAGCTGGCCATTTTGTTTCCAATCTGTCTCAAAATGATCATGAACAACTGGAGATAAATAGAAAGTTGTTTATCTGGAAAAGATCCCTCCAGTACAATGTACATTTAAGTAGTTTCTTAGAAATAGCAATAACAAACCTTAAATGTCAAAATCCAAGATTGCCACCTGCTGGCCATTTTGTTTCTGCACAACTAGAGACCAAGGGGAACATACATATTTCATTTCAGAAAGATCCCTCCAGTACTTTCTGAGAAACATCCCTCCATTGCTTTTGAGAAATAGCAATAACAAGTATTGTTAAAGGACAGACCATGAATGCAGGGTGATTTGAATAGCCTAGCTACCATATAATGATGGTGGGCTCAGAATAACAGGACAATATTACTAGACTGGATGGTCTGGTGGTGCAGTGGATAGCTACTCATAATTACTGCATTACAAGGTGTGGTTTTATATCAGGTATCCCAGACAAACCAATTTTCCGGTATCCCAGACATGACATTTTACTTGAGTTCAACTTTCTAGTAACATAGTTTTGGTATGCATCCATCCAGCACCAAAGGTTTGATTGAAAATTAGTAATTATATGCTCCCCAGTCCTGTCTTCCTCCCTACCCCACACACCTTACTTACAAGGAGTATACAAATTAAATTAACTACAAACACACAATTGATATTACATAATTTATTGTTTGATACTTTCCTACAATATGTTTCAAAAATTGTGTTAAAGTTTTAGAGAAGTAAAACTTGTACATGGCTTGATATTACAGCTAACTTACTTGGATGAATTGTCATGAATATCAACAATTAACAGAAAATATGACTCAACTCCTACTATTAAAGTGATACTTCTGCCACAGTGAATACACATTTTCATAGTCCTCTTAAACTGACCATATTGCAGGCTCCAAACTTCTGATTGGTCGTCAGTACCATAAGCAGGTGACGATCAGAATTTCGGAGCCTGTGATTATGGTCAGTTATAGCAGACTAACTGTATCACACTGCAAGGCAAACCTACAAACACACCTACATTATAGGATGTAGTTTGATTTCAACTGATGAACTCCTTTTAAACCTTACTCACACTCACAAAATCTATTTTAAACATGTTATATTGATGAAAAATCTTCCTGCATAGGTGTCTGTTCTGGTAAACAGACCACAGGGGGATACACATCAGCTTTTTCCATATACCTAGTCACCTGCAATTAGTAAGATTTAGAGATCTTACCTGGTATGACAGTGACTTCACCATTACATTGTTTTCAAAATAATTTGTTATCTAATGTTCAAAATTATTACATCTTATGTAAGCTTAGTCTTTTATGTGTACTGATGGATATTGGGAAGTGTCACACCCTGGTTTACAATTTTGGGGAAAAAGGCTACAAAAAGCCTCAAATGTACACCGCTAGGAAGCACTTAATGTCATGCACAGCCTTACTCTGCTTTATGTAAAACAATGCTGTTTGACATATAATGTCATTTGAAATATACTAATGATGACTGACACATAAAATAGTTTAACCCAATTGAATGATATTATTTTGCCATGTATAATATTGGTGTTTTAGATATAAAATTGGCTTCTTCTATTTAATTAAAACCAAATGTTGGATAACCTAGCTAGAGAAAAAAGGTGTAGGAATCCAGGAAAGGAAATTATAGATTGCATGAGAATAGAAAAGGTGATGATACAGAATTTAAAACAGGATTAAAGAACGTCAATAAATACCACTGTAGCCATCAACCCGATCAACAACAAAGCAGATACAGGCACTGTTTAAACAATAGGTTTAAAACAGCTAGAACAAAACAATTCTGTTTGGCATGAAATACATAATTAATATGGTGAAAATGTTGCTGTGTAAAAATATTGTGTGCACTATTGTTTGACATGATACTGTTGTTCAATATATAGAGAGCATTGTTACTTGATGTATTACAATGATTGATGTTTCATGTTATTTGACTTATAACATTGATGTTTCATGTTATTTGACTTATAACATTGACGTTTCATGTTATTTGACTTATAACATTGACATTTTATGTTATTTGACTTATAACATTGACGTTTCATGTTATTTGACTTATAACATTGACATTTCATGTTGTTTGACTTATAACATTGATGTTTCATGTTATTTTACTTATAACATTGATGTTTCATGTTATTTGACTTATAACATTGATGTTTCATGTTATTTGACTTATAGCATTGATGTTTCATGTTTCTTTGACATAAAACAACATTGCTTGATGTATAACAATATTGAATCAGGTTTATTTAACTCATTCACCCCTGAAGTTTCATAATGAACTATTCCAACCTTTGAATTGGAAGAGTTCAAATGTGTCTTCAGGGGTGTGTGTTAATATATATAACAATGTTGCTTGATGTATAATTTTGCTTGATGTATAACAATGTTGTATCAGGTTTATTTAATATATATAACAATGTCGCTTGATGTATAATTTTGTTAATGTTTAAAGTATAACAATGTTGCTTGATGTATAATTTTGTTAATGTTTAAAGTATAACAATGTCGCTTGGTGTATAATTTTGTTAATGTTTAAAGTATAACAATGTTGCTTGATGTATAATTTTGTTAATGTTTCAAGTATAACAATGTTGCTTGATGTATAATTTTGTTAATGTTTAAAGTATAACAATGTTGCTAGATGTATAATTTTGTTATTGTTTAAAGTATAACAATGCTGCTTAACGTATAATTTTGTTAATGTTTCAAGTATAACAATGTTGCTAGATGTATAATTTTGTTATTGTTTAAAGTATAACCATGTTGCTTGGTGTATAATTATGTTAATGTTTAAAGGATAACAATGTCGCTTGGTGGATAATTTTGTTAATGCTTAAAGTATAACAATGACGCTTGGTGTATAATTATGTTAATGTTTAAAGGATAACAATGTCGCTTGGGGTATAATTTTGTTAATGTTTAAAGTATAACAATGTCGCTTGATGTATAATTTTGTTAATTTTTAAAGTATAACAATGTTGCTTAGTGTATAATTTTGTTAATGTTTAAAGTATAACAATGTCGCTTGATGTATAATTTTGTTTGATGCATATAAAGTGTATTTGATGTGTAACAATGTTCCTCCAGTATATATTTTGTTCTGATGTAATATAATTTTATTTTATATCTATAATGTTTGTTGTAGATATAGAACACATTTGTTTGTTGTATGATGGTTGTGTTTGAAGTAAAAAATGTTTTATCTATCTAGTTAAAAAACAATGTGGTGTGTAGCTGTAAGAAAGATGATAAAATACATTACAAATTAAAAATAATTCAATCAGCACAAGCTTAAAATATGTCATCTTACAAATATCATGTGTAACGACCAATATACTGGGCCACGTACTGCACTCCACAAAGCTTACATCATTTTGAGACATTCCGTTTCGTATACGAGGATCTTGCTAGTCAGCCACCATCACATTACATGGAACGGGATGTTTTTATGACTAAATCTATTAATGATTTGACTCTGCTGGCATTCAACTGATTGGGACTTTGTGAATGTTATTTGATATCAATGATAAAAGGTCTATTCCATCTTTTCGTATTGCAGAGTTATCTTCTCTTGTGAGCAGGTATCGATTGTTACGTCATTTGTTTGGGAACAACGGAACTTTCTCACACAAACCAATGACGTAACAATCAATACCTGATCACAAGAGAAGATAACTCTGCAATACGAAAAGACGGAATACATAGTAATGTGTAATTCAGCCCCAGAAAAAATGTCCTCCTAAGAGAATAAAATTCTGTATGTAAAAATTTCAATCAGTGCAAAATAGATAAATCAGAATTGACTAACAATTTATTTAGTGATGCCACAATGACTTAAACAAATATGATAATTATCCTGCTTTCTGCTTTCAGTAAAACCAATTCAAGCTGATATTAAACTCCTTTTAGCTTTATCAATACAGATTGCTACGTTCACCAATTCTAAATTTTTCAATCATTTTTTTATAGAATTGAATTTTACCTACAATCTCAAAAATTTTTATTATGTGAGCCGTTGTAAACTTCTTTTGGTTTTAGAGAGAAAATGGGTCTGAAAGGACAATTATCAAATATATAGCCCTTTTGTATCCTTCACACCAACACTACCAGTCAGAGTTGTAGTAATGTCTATCGTTTGGTAGTCTGGGATCATTGATCTGCACCACTGACACAATCTGCTGTCGTTTTGCACACACTGTCTGAGAATTTTCATAATGTAGCTTACTTAAAATTAGTGTGGAAACCATTTTGGGATGTATTTCCTACATAACAACACGCTGAGACCAGGATCTAACAGGGTATATGTGTTGAGGCGCTAATCACTTATTCCTATCCAAACATGATATCATATCCAAATATCAAGGATATTCGTCAATGGATCAATGTTTAAGACACAAAAATTAACAAAACATTGAACATAGCAGTTCTACCCGATTAATGTCAGACTCTACTTGTGTGCAAAAACATTGAACACAGCAGTTATACCCGATTAATGTCAGACTCTACTAGTGTGCAAAACATTGAACATAGCAGTTATACCCGATTAATGTCAGACTCTACAAGTGTGCAAAACATTGGTCACCACAGCTCAACCAGAGCAATGTTGGACACTTTTAATGAACTGATGTACTAGAGATATGTCTCACATCCTAATGTACAAATATATCGGCATCTCTATGAAATCCATTCTGGGTTTCCACCTTAGATATCTAATGGGATCTGTCAATGTCTTTTAGCTCCTCCACAGTGAACAAGCTAATTACCCCTGTACATCGGTCTCCTCTTTGTTTAAGTACACATTTAGGATATTTTCCAATCCTAGGGAAAGATTGTATTTCAGTTCTTTGCTTTTTTGATAAAGTCTTGTAGAACTCCCACTAACTGTGAGAGTTGAGCTTTGGGTATGTTGTCCGGTATCACTAAGTTTTCTAATTCACATTCCGGGTCCACGTCTACTGTCAACGTCTGAAAAAGAAGAATTTGACAATTCATTTAATGTCAGTATCAGTTGACCAGTATTAATTTTAATTGACCAAAAATATTCTTTCCATCTTCATTTGGTGACCTGATTTTATTTATATATTTGTTTTTCAAATTTGGGGTTTCAATTGATGGAATAGCAAACAGCCAGCATTATCCAGTGATTCTAAAAATGAAAAGCTTACTATATATATAACAATGTTTAACAAGCTATGGATGCTTTGTTCTGTAAAATATTAAATTAATTATTGTATTATCTGATATTTAAACAGAATATTTCTTGATATGAATATGTTTGAGAGCTTCACCCCTACTTGATGATAAATACCATGATAATTAGTATTTATCAGGAAACCAAGACTATCCCCAATAAATGAGGTATTGAGCGTAGAAAGATTTTAATCAGTAATATATACAGACATACTAGGGTTATCATTCTCAACAATTGAAATTCATTTCTAATCATGTTTTCGATGCATTACAGAGTAAAAGACAAGATCATGAGCCAACACAACCCTTTGTTAACATGAGACCTGTGATGTAAGGTAGTTACGAGGACATATATCACTAGTTACTGGACAAGTCTTAACAATATTAACCCAATGAACTTGACACTATGTCTGCTGAAGTGTTATTATTTTACCACTTGAAATTTTAAAACTGCAGTAAGAATTGTTAGTTATAGATACTGAAGATCACCTAGACAACAAAGTAAATGCAATGTGCATTTAGTTTGGTGAACTTTTCCTCTAATTACAACATGAAACATGTGCATTGAAATCTTGACTTCGACTACAAAATCTTCATCTATAAATAGGTTTCATGATCAATTGCTAAAACTTGCTATGTTTTTCCATTTCTTGGGATTTGAAAAGAATTCAAGAAAATAACTTTGAAGAAATTATCTGAAAATAATAAATATACCAAGAACATATTTATCTCCAAACTTTTGACACATTTCCGATTCCTTGAAAGCAATTAAACTTGAAGCAATTATCTTTAAATCGTAAGCAAACACTGTACCTTTCCTCGTTTCCTAATATTTCCTTTGCCTCCGAGGCGTGTGGGGTTCTGGATAGGACTACCGCCCATTGACATGATAATTTCTCCTGGTTTGGCTGCCCGCTTCATGTTTCCTGTCATTGGCAACCTGTAACAGTCACAATAAACACCCAACTGATTTTTGTGAATACTTTGAACAAGAAAATGCTTTCCCTTCTTTCATTTTTTTTCATGCTTGCGCAAGAGGATGAATTTAACATACACTTGATACAGAGAATTTGATTTAAAAGGCCACACAGTAGCATTTGGTAGGGTGTAAATGTTAGTGAATGGTACATATTTTGTATAAATATCAAGTGAAAACAAGTTGTTTGTGTACTGCCTGACATGTGGGTAACTTCATGTCCTATACTAAGGTAAACATGCCTGTTATAGACCAGTGTACTGGGTAGAGTAGACAAGGTAAAATCAAATAGGGTCTGATCATTGGAAATTAAATGGAAACTTTTTGGAAAACATATGGATATTTTTTATTGCACATAATGCCTTTTTAGAAGATGAAATGTTCAACATACATTAAATGGTTTAGAAATAGCGCAAGACTGAAGAAATTGAACACTACCTGCAGTCTTTAATTTGCTATTAAGTGAAATTAAAGAAAAGTTGAAAATACTAAATATAACAATAGTACATAGTACATGTATATGGGTACACCTATCTTACCAGTTAAAGCTGTGTTGTTATTAAGTCTAGCATTGTACATGCAGTATTACTGTAAACTGGAAAATGTTCGCCTTTTTCGCCCTCAATAGCAAGGGTGAATTTATCATTACAGCAATTGTCTATAAACAACATAATATGCATTGTAGTAAAATGTAAAAACAAAATTCAGAGTGGGAGAATATCGATTATACCAGTGAAAGGTGAATGTTTGACTGTATTCTGTATAGTCAACAGTAAGGAAAACTGCAGGTCATGGTTCTAAACATTCCATACCAATTTTCATGTTTCTGACCTAGTTAGGTAATTCATTGAGGTCGCAAACATTTTCCCTTTACTTTTTCTGTACTTTTGTTGTTGTATATAGTGAGAACTCAGAATAAAATCGCACATAAATGTAGGATTGTTTTTCCACATTTTCCATATTTTGTTTCTACTTTATTATATATGATCTAACGGTGATGTTATTTCAAGTTGAAGTGTTGGACAGACTAAAGAGTAGGTTTCATAAACATAATTCCAGAATAACTTATTTCTATAATTTTTGCATGAAGCTGTTGTTCTGAAAGTTATCACATCAATATTCACCTTTTAGGAGGATACATGTCGGGTGGAGTAAATACCATTTGTTTAGTAACACTTATTTCAATTAAAGTTCTTGGTATCAAAACAGTAACATTCAAAATATCTAAATCCCATTTGCTGAACAAACTATTTAACATAGTTGTACTTGATATCTTGAAGTTAAAATATATCAGAATATTTCAACTGAAATATCTTTTAAAGATTTCAGAGTGATCAAAAAAGCATGTCAGAAATTCTGCAGTGTTTTTCGGTTTTAACAGCCACTTTCTACCTGTACTATTTAACAGCCACTTTCTACCTGTACTATTTAACTAGTACCACTGCTTCCTCCCTGTACCAGTGATGACTTACGGATACATGAAGTGAAGACACAGAAGTAACCTTAATGGGAGTCGTGCTTACCGTGGGTCAAACTTGGGAGTAACAAGAGGTGTCTCCCAGCCTGTGGCAGACATACTCCTACCCATGGCAGGGGTTTTCATCCTGTAATAAATGTTACATCAAGTCAATACATTGTATAGGTACAGCAAATCATCACAAGTCTAGCCAGCTGCATCAAGTCAGTACATTGTATAGGTACAGCAAATCACCACAAGTCTAGCCAACCACATCAAGTCAATACATTGTATAGGTACCGCAAATCATCACAAGTCTAGCCAACTACATCAAGGCAATACATTGTATAGGTACAGCAAATCATCCCAAGTCTAGCCAACTACATCAAGTCAATACCTTGTCTAACCTACAGCAAATCATTACAAGTCTAGCCAGCTACATCAAGTCAACACATTGTATAGCTACAGCAAATCATTACAAGTCTAGCCAGCTACATCAAGTCAGTACATTGTATAGGTACAGCAAATCATCACAAGACTAGCCAACTACATCAAGTCAATACCTTGTCTAACCTACAGCAAATCATTACAAGTCTAGCCAGCTACATCAAGTCAACACATTGTATAAGTACAGCAAATCATCACAAGTCTAGACAACTGCATCAAGTCAATACATTGTATAAGGTACAGCAAATCATTACAAGTCTAGCCAACTACATCAACTCAACACATTGTATAGGTACAGCAAAGCATCACAAGTCTAGCCAACTACATCAGGTCAATACATTGTATAGGTACAGCAAATCACCACAAGTCTAGCCAACTACATCAAGGCAATACATTGTATAGGTACAGCAAATCATAACAAGTCTAGCCAACTACATCAAGTCAATACACTGTATAGGTACAGCAAATCATCACAAGACTAGCCAACTACATCAAGTCAATACATTGTATAAGGAACAGCAAATCATCACAAGTCTAGCCAGCTACATCAAGTCAGTACATTGTATAGCTACAGCAAATCATTACAAGTCTAGCCAACTACATCCAGTCAATACATTGTATAGGTACAGCAAAGCATCACAAGTCTAGCCAACTACATCAAGGCAATACATTGTATAGGTACAGCAAAGCATCACAAGTCTAGCCAACTACATCAGGTCAATACATTGTATAGGTACAGCAAATCACCACAAGTCTAGCCAACTACATCAAGTCAATACATGGTATAAGGTACAGCAAATCATCACAAGCCTAGCCAACTACATCAAGTCAATACCTTGTCTAACCTACAGCAAATCATTACAAGTCTAGCCAACTACATCAACTCAACACATTGTATAGGTACAGCAAAGCATCACAAGTCTAGCCAACTACATCAAGTCAACCCATTGTATAGGTACAGCAAATCATCCCAAGTCTAGCCAACTACATCAAGTCAACTCATTGTATAGGTACAGCAAATCATCACAAGTCTAGCCAACTACATCAAGTCAATACATTGTATAGGTTCGGCAAATCATTACAAGTCTAGCCAACTACATCAAGTCAACACATTGTATAAGGTACAGCAAATCATCACAAGTCTAGCCAGCTACATCAAGTCAGTACATTGTATAGGTACAGCAAATCATTACAAGTCTAGCCAACTACATCAAGCACTACTCAGTGGAGCTCATTCTCTTAAGTCTAGCCATCTACATTAATTTCTGTAGGTCTCAGTGGAAGATATTCTTCCGAGTCTCGCCATCTACATTGATATTTATAGGTCTCAACGTAGCACACTCTCAACTCTAGCCATCTACATCAATATCTATAGGTCTCAGAGAAGAATATTACAGATCTGACTGACTACATGTAGTTATCCTAGTCCCAGTGATTAAATAGAGTCTTTCAGAATATGATGCAAGATTTTACCGGTTTAGATAAAAAGTCAGCAACAAGATTTTGAATGAATCATATTAATGAACTAGTATTGAATTAATTAGTGGTAAAGGAGTATATGAGTTAAGGAGCTAAAAAAGGACTGATGAAAAAGAGCTGTATGTTTTTACATTTATGACATTAATATTCTAAAACAAGAATTACGCGTAATAATATATCTCGCCGTTACACCCTTTGTGTTTTAAAACACAATTTATGCTTATAGCATTTTCAAATAAATTCCGTCAGAGAAGAGGATCTTCATAACCATGTGGTAAGGAGCCAAGCATTTCAAATCTCTGTTTCTGACCCGCAATACAAATGGAGCCAAGCATTTCAAAACTCTGTTTCTGACCCGCAATACAAATGGAGCCAAGCATTTAAAATCTCTGTTTGTGACCCACAATGAGTTGTACATCGCATTACCAGTACCTACTGAGCTAAAAACTTAAATTTAATATTAGCTGGCCAAAAACAAGAAATTTTGATATGTTCATTTGAGCAATAAAAACCTGTATTATATGTTGAAGTACTGTGTATACTGAAGGTTTGTATAAATCTGTAAATACACCAATTATTAAAGTATGTCCAATTCTCAAAATCACCCAAAATTCTGTTTTCTGCCAAAAAAACTGTTGTGGTCATCTCAGCAAAAAACCTGTATTATTTATTGAAGTACTGTGTATACTGAAGGTGTGTATGAAATTTGAAGTTAATCTAAAAATTATTAAAGAAGTTATGTCCAATTCTCAAAATCACCCAAAATTCTTCATTTTTGGCTCAAAATATGTAAAAAAATAAATAAAATAAAAATGAAATAAGAATCCCCCCCACTTTGACTTGATAGTATAAAAGGTAGACTCCAAAAGACCCTTCATACAAAATTCAACATCTAGGCCATTATTAACTGATAACGAAGCATAATGAAAACTTGACGTTGAGCTAAACGCAATGTTTGACGCCGTCGTCGGAAAAGCAACACCTTAGTCACGCTTTCGCTCCTCCGTCCCGGCGAGACAAAAACTTACAAAATGACTACAAATAGTACATACATGTATGGAGTTGTATCTTAATCCATACAGAATGTGTTTTATTCCCTCGTAGTACTTACATATGTGACATAGGTGTATTCATTGCTGGTCTTCCTCTTCTTGCAGCTGTCCTTGGCTGAAAGTAGGTAAAATAATCCACTACATTTCACAAGTACATGTAGATCAAAGGTCTCTAAGGAGCGCTGTGTTGGAGCGTAAAATGGCTTGTGATATGTAGAAGTTATAAGGCAAAATGAAACACAGTAAATTACGAAATTCTTATTTCAATAATATGAATAAAATTTAAAGCAATGATTACAGATTGAGACCTTTGTTCCCATGAGGCTGATTCATAACTGTAAACTGTCATAAAGATATGGTAACTACTGTAGGTCACAATAAAACATGAAATATTCAGGTACATGTAACTCAGTATAAGTATACATTGGAAAGGTAGAGATTCCACATATATTGTCAATCTTCTTTCCAAACAGTGTCTTTCAGATACACCCCACACTTTTCAACTAACATTAATAATTATTACTGCTCTCAATAGGATTTAAAAGTAAAAGAGCCGTAGGTTAAAATTTTAATACAGCTTGTAAATTCAGGGAAAAAATAATTCAGAGAAGTAAACCCTTAAAAAAAATATAACTCTACATAATTTTCTTCCATTTTTCCTTTTAAATTTAGAAATCTCAAATTGATCTATGAATTTTCACTTAGTGCTTGTGACTTCAGTTTGTGATTATAGGTAATTATAGGTCTTACTAAGTGATCAGTGACCATTGGTTACAGTTGTTGTGGGTCTTGTGAGAGGAAGTAATAAAATGCTGGGAATTTTATGACTTGTAATGGTCGTATCATTTATGTAAGTTGTAACTCAGGCAATCTGTGTCAGTTGACATGTAATGTGCATCATCAAAACTCAGTGTACAAAATCACCGTGTTAACCTATTCACATTGTTTTTGTTATTTAGTAACTGTGACAGAGAAGTCATCATTACCTGTGTAAATGTGCATCATCAAGACTCTGTGTACAAAATCAATGTGTTACATTGTTTTTGTTACTTAGCAACCGTGACAGAGAAGTCATCATTACCTGTGTAAATGTGCAACTAGGTGTTGCACCCTCCTCCTCAGAGATTGTTTCAAATATGTGTGGTTGTAGATGGGACCTACACACAAAAAACAGAACAGACATGTAACAACACCTGCATCTAAACATATAAAAGACATGCACTAGAGCTGGAAAGTTTAATAATCAAATCTATCCTATTTGCCATAATTAACACCCAGTGCGCTTAAAAAACAGCTTAAATGGGGCGCTTATTAGGGTTATAAAATGTGAGTTACTATGGAGCAAGTTGTTCAAAATCAACTGTTGCTACAGTATAACAGAAGCACTTTATAAACATTCCAATGTGTCTGTTTCATTTGCTTCAATGGGAGATCAGCCATGATCTCTGCTTTAAATGTGTAAGTACTGTAAATCATTGACCGGGCCTGGGCAGGTCTGGGATGGGCAGGGGATTTATATAATTTCAATTCCTCTCCCAAAACAAGAGGCCCATGAGCCTTAACGGTCACCTGACATCTGATTCAAATTAGGACTGTCATCCAGGGGCCAATTCATACGTTTCGTCGGTCCGAGTGACTTTGCTGCATCGTCCATTAATTTTTCCTTGTGAACATAATAACTTCAGTAAATATGAACCAATTTTGATGAAACTTTGTATGCAGCTTTTTCTCAATGAGCTCTTGAATGAGTTTGAATACCGGACCAATTTGACCATAACTTACATAGTAATTGCCCTTGGTAATTCTATTATTGTTGGACCCTGTGAACACGATAACTGAAATAAATGGGTGTGACTCCAATTTTTACCCAAGTGGTCTGTTTTGAACAAACTTGGTAACTGTATATCTTCTGTTCTTGGTTAAAAGAAACAAGTAAAAGCGTAAATCAATGATTTATTAAATAAGGCACAAAATTTTAATAGCACCTTGTTAGTAGCAAAAACTTGTCATGAATGAAAAAAAAGGTGTACCACATGAATTTACATCTATTCTTGTGTAATGTCAATCAACATCACAGGGACAAATAAATAATAAAATGACTAAGGGCAATAACTCTGCAGGTTACCATCAAATAATTACCGGACAAAGTTTCATTGAACTCCGTCAACATTTATTCAAGTTATCGTGTTTACAAGGTCCAATAATAATATTATTACAAAGGGCAATAACTCTGTAAGTAACTGTCGAATTATTTCCAGTTTCGAACTCATCCGAGATCTTAATGATAATAGAGTACATACAGAGTTTCATCAAACTTTGTTGATATTTACTCAAGTTATCGTGAACACAAGGTCCAGTACAAAATAGTGTAATAATATTATTACAAAGGGCAATAACTCTGTAAGTTACTGTCGAATAATTCCCATTTTCCAACTCATCTGAGATCTTATTGATATAAGGCCGCATACAAAGTTTCATCAAACTTGTTTGATAATTACTTAAATTATCATGTTCACAAGGTCCAATAATAATATTATTACAAAGGGCAATAACTCTGTAAGTTACTGTCGAATAATTCCCATTTAGAGTCCGGGTTCTTATTGATATGTGGCTGCAACAAAGTTTCATCAAACTCTGTTAACATTTACTCAAGATCTCATGCTCACAAGGTCCAATAATAATATTATTACAAAGGGCAATAACTCTGTAAGTTACTGTCGTTTAATTTCCATTTTCGAGATCTTATTGACATATGGCTGCATACAAAGATTCATCAAACTCGGTTAACATTTACTGAAGTTATCGTGTTCACAAGGAAAAGTTAATGCACGACGGACGACGACGGACAAAAGGCTATCACAATAGGTTACCATGACCAATGGTCAGGTAACCTAAAAAAGAGGAAGGGATGCTTATTATAACAAATACAGTACATTAAAATACAAGAAAGCTTTTTTAAAGTATAAAGCACATAAAAACAATACCAAATGACTAAGATCACTCTGTGTTACTGTTGATCATGACTATCATCATCTGATGTTGATCACCATACTTCATTTAGATAGAAAAACCCTTCTGATTTACAATTGTTTTTGAAATCTTAAAAGTATAAGAGTTAGCAAATATTCATCTTGCTGAAGTTAAGACCATATTAAGGTTCCACATGTATACTACAATATCTACATCAAGTACAAGGTAAGACTATTTTTAATACTTGCTGACTATGGACCTACATACTTACAATTTACCAATTTTCATAGCTGATAGTGTTAAAGAACTCATGTTATCCTCTTGTATATCCAAGTGTTTCTCCGCTAAATCAACAGTTCCACCACAGCCTGGAAAGGAGATTCCATCTTGTATAGCATGTATATCATGTCCTGAATACTATACTGGATATATTTGTGTTGTTGCTTAATTTTTATCAAGATTTTTTTGTTACATTTGAACTCTTATTTTTACAATAAATGCTCCTGTTAAACACAAGATTAGTCCTAGGACTATTTAAACATACCCGACATTAATCATTAAAATAAATATACATACTTATAAACTCTTCAAGGGTCATCTTTCTGACAGCCTGTAAAACAATATAAAAAGGTAGAACAAAGTAAGCACTATAATCATACGAGGAAAAGGTATGTAGTCTCCCAGAAGTAGTACCTCAGGTAGATAAATGTCTAACAATGTTTCGTTATACAGTAATACATGTAGATCAGGAAATGTATGTGATAATTTTATTTCCTCCATTTCTGTTATACCTTCTTCTGAAGGTAGGATTTCTTGGGAGTTATATTTGTCAAAATGGGAAGAGAAAACATGCACATGTCTAAATTTCATTAGACCCTTAACATATTGGCAGCAAAACCCCTGACAAAAGCACATATACAGAGCATATATAAGATGTCTGTTAACAATAACACCAGTACTTACAATTGGCAAGCGGGATAGGTCCCACAAAAACTTCTTGTCTATCAAACTCAGCATATTCTCCAAATCTTTGGCTAATTTTCTGTTCTGTTCACTAACTGAAATTAAAAGAAAAGTCTTTATAATTAGCTACAGTGGTTTTGCTTGTATGTTAACTAAAGAGCTATGTTTGTATGTAAATCTATATGCTATTCAGCACCATAGTTAACGCTATAGCCACAGGTTATATGGTGTCAAGCTTGGAAAAAAGAGTAGACATTTAACTTTAAAAACTGTATTGGGAACATGATTCACATATATGTTCATAAGATAACTTTTACATTTTCATAATACAACATCTTGTCATTTTGAGGTTCAAAACAAGTAACTGCTGTATATTCTTTTAATCAAACTGGAGTAAACTAATTTTATATTAAAAACAGAAAATGAGCTTTAGCAAGGATTTCTTTTTAAATTTGAAAATTAACAAATAAGTAAAGCATGATGCATGCTTTTATAATGAGAGTAAACAAGTGAATAAGGATTACAGGTAAGGGCTTGAATTAGGACTGCCTTACCCAGTATACCTTGTAATAGTCATGGAAAAGAGTTTTTATGATGACATTTTTTAAGTAAGAGAAACACCTTAAACTGTGAAATAGTAAAAAACAAGAGTTCCGCAAAGGGGTACATGATACACCCGTCAGATGTCAAATGAGCAGTTTGCCACAAATGGCCATAAGTGCATAAATTTTGAAGAGATAAGCGTAAATTATACAAAGGGCCATAACTGCATAAATAACCGGCATGGTGGAGTAGTTACCATATCTTTATGACAGTTTACAGTTATGAATCAGCCTCATCGGAACAAAGGTCTCAATCTGTAATCATTGTTTTAAATTTTGTTCATATAGGTTATCAAACTTGTCTGAGCTTTCATGGCGATGAACCTTCCTACCAAGTTTGAAATTAATCCATTCAAAATTACTCAAGTTATTGAGCGGAAACTTCGGCATTTCTACAAAGGGCCATAACTCCGTAAATAACTGGCAAATAATTTTGGTTATCGAACCTGTCCAAGCTTTTATGGCAATGAACCTTCCTACCAAGTTTGAAATGAATCCATTCAAAATTACTCAAGTTATTGACAGAAACTAATGTGTGCCCGCCCACCCGCGTGAAAACATAATACGTGCCGTTACTATAGACGGGTGTATAAAAAGGGGACAATTCTTGGCCCTAAGGGGCCTCAAACTGTCCATTATCTTGACTATTCCTCAGTTTTTGGCATTTCTCATACCTATCTTAGAAGATGAAAAGTGATTACAATTTTTCAGAACATTGTCAAATATTCAACATTGCTGTTTTACAAATGAGACCGGCAAGTTGGCCATGTAACAGTTTGTTTGAGGTTAAGTTTGTTAATATATATATATAACAAGATAGAGTATTGTGAGCAATTTATGACCCCCTAAATTTGGACAGGCTTCAGTATGAAAAAGTGATAATGGGGCATAAGACCTCATTTCAGAAAAACGTGGCTTTCTGCATGACAAGAGATACTCAAATAAAATGTCTGGTAATTGTAGGTCACAGCATATGCCAAAGTGATGCAAGATACAAGGGCCATAACTGTGTATAGTGGGGTGCCAGGCTGAATTTTAGCAAGTGGAACTCAGCTATAACAATTACACAAAATTATACAAATTGTGTAGGTGACAGGGTATATGAAATATATGCATCAGACAAATGATGAAAGGTGATTTGTTTGATTTTGTTTTGAAGTGTTCAAAGGGCTATAACTCTGTATATAGTGGGACACCTGATATACAATTATACAGGTCTTTTATTTTAAAGTAGTAGGTGTAATAGCAATGTGACATTGATAACATCAACACTTGATTGATGTTCTCAATGCAAAAACTTATTGACAACTTATAGCACATACCTCTGATTTTTAAATCTTGCAAATACACATCAAGTTTTTTGCCTTTTTCCTCCTCTGATAGATCTTCACCAACCCTGTCTAATTGGACCTTTGGTTTGGACTTTGCGCCCTGCATTCGTGTTGCTCTTTTCTTCGGCATCTTAAATTCCTGAAAAATGTTTTATCAATTAACAATCGAAAAATATATATATATACAAAAATGATACAAAGGGAATTACAGGTTGTTTTTAATGGAACTGAATTTCTCCCACTGTTCATTGAATTGTCTCCTGTTTTACCTGTACAAGAGTTTTCATTTTCCCCTCAAGCTCTAAGGCATTATTTTTTGGACATCCCCTAGGGTATGACAGTTGGCCTGCAGAAAGAAACTACACAATGATGGCATGGAAACAATAAATTATGACATCACAATCAGCTTTCAACAGTAGAAGTCAATGGCAAATCAGGATAAAAACACAGATTACAAATTCTGATAACCAATGTTTTCAAACGGGTACATTTCTGAAAGGAAGGGAGAAAAAAAATCATCCCCTATGTTGAAGGTATGCTAGAGAAATTTCAACCCATATATGTAGGATAAATATATATTAACCTTCCACCCTAGTGATCAGTTTGAAGCAAGCCTTTGGTTACATAAGAATATATATCCCCTGTGGTTGTGATTTCTCTGTCATAGACTCATACCCTCAAATGGTAGCTAGGGGATTTACCAGACGATTATATAAGTCAATGATAAGCTGAGGATCAGTCTCAGAAAAGATTTTTTGTTGTTTATGAAACAAAGTAACATTACTTTATACAGTAAATAATGTTCAACACCAGGGTGGTGTTTTATGCCGTATTTCTAATATTAACACTGGCATGGCCTCCTCTGCCCTGGCCAAACATTGTCTTGTCATAAGAAGCTACGTTATCTCAGCTAAAGTTGTCCCTACTGTATGCTCTGGTTTGGAGCTTTGTTAGTACATATTCTTTTTGTCAAATTATATACTGTATATTTTGTGAAGTTTCAACACTTGAGCCCTTCCATTTAAATTAAGTTATGCAAATCTGAAGACACAGGTGGATGCATGATGGATTTTTAAACTTCTTTGTTGTGGTGTAGGTTTTGCTCTTTATTTTATCATTTGATCCTTGGAAAAGATCGTTCGGGTAAAATGCTGTTGTTTGAAAGAATGACTTCTCTTTGTGACACAAACGGGTAGGCGTCTTTATCTATATGAACGAACACCCATCCCCACCCTCAAACTGGAGGGGTGGTTTCATTTGGCGTCTATCAGTAAAATCATATGAAACGGTTGGAACAATATTACACATATAAAATCGAGATCCCCGTTTCTCCATATAGTTTTTTTGACGAGTGTCCAGCTGTTGACAAAATGTTCGCATACAGCGATACGTACACTAGACTTCGGTGTCAGCTTGTCGAAGTGGCCTCACTGGCATGTGCGTTCATCACTACTAGCCGTGACTAAGATCCTGAAATTTGTATAAATATTTATTACATGTGACACGTTCTGAGACCTCCAGTTATCTTCGAATATCAATATTTCATTAAATATAATCAAGCCATACCTTTATTTATTCTGCTTTCCGAGCCCTATAATTCCGCGCTTGTGTTTTGAATTCTCCTATTCTACGTCAAAAATAAGCTTAATTCATGTACGTCAATCAAACGGTTTAGGGACGAAGATAAAGCACGGTCACATGATCAAAACATGGCAGATGAAAGAGCACATGGGGATATGTTGTCAGAAAACAGTGAGGATTGAATAAGTATGTGATAACACACACATTTTTATCAAGTGCAAATTAGGCATGTATCATTGTATGCTTATTTTGCAGTTTACGAGAAACGGATGAATTCAACATCGGGAAGGTGTATCTATACAAAATAATACCGCTAAGTTCTTACTTTCATCAGTTCATACCTTACATAATTTCTATGATTGATATCACTGCATTTGTGAATATCAGCATTTTTTGGGTAAACATCTCTATGACAGATTCACACAACCTCACCATAGGAGCATACTATAGACCACCATCAGACACTCACTAGAACAATTAGAAATCTCCATGAGCAGACTAGGTCAAAACAACAACACAATAACATACATAAGTTTAGATTTCAACTTACCACACATAGACTGGCAAAACAACACAATCATACCAGGCAAACAAGAACAAAAACTTCACCAGCACCTTCTGGACGTCAAAGACAACAACTCCCTCACACAAATAAAGACAAAGCCTATCAGAGGAGACCACATACTGAACCTGACACTTACAAACAGACCATCAATCATTACAAGACTGAAACCACCCCACCTATAGGCAAATCTGACCATGACATAGTCTACACTGAAATTGACATTCGACTGAATAGAATAAGAAGAGAACCCAGAAACATATACCTCTACAACAAAGCTGACTGGAACAACATAAGAAACGATCTCACACTTCTAAACACAAAACTTAACAACAAACTAACCAAACCGCAGACAATCTTTGGGACATGTTCAAAACAACACTTAATAATTCAGTCACCAAAAATATCCCTCAAAAACACATCACATATAAATCCAAGCTCCCATGGATAACATATTCTCACCTTCGACTCATGAAAAAATGTAAACAATTACACACTAAAAGCAAAACAAAACATTGAACTTTAATATACAGAAATACAAATCAGCAAAATCAGAACTACAAAAACAAACCCGTTACGCATATCTTAACTACATAGAAAAAATGATAAAAGACCTACCAATAGACGAACCCAGCATACCCTCGCCTAGCAAAAAATTCAATCCAAAAAACTATTCTCCTACATAAAAACTGCAAGAAAAGGACCTTCTCCACACCCTCTCATGCCAGAAATACACATTACGCAACAAGACATCAATAAACTACTCAACAGCATCAACCCACATAAAGCAACAGGACCTGGCAATATACATGGCAGAATACTTAAATTAAAGAATTAAGTGACACCACAGCATCAATTCTCACAAAAATCTTCACCCGTTCGCTCACTACAGGAACACCACCATCAGATTGGAAGCACAAACGTCAACCCAGTATACAAAAAAGGAGACAAATACAACCCAGCAAATTACAAACCAATATCACTAACCTGCATCACATGTAAACTCATGGAACACATCATAACAAGTGCCACAATGACACATCTGAAGAACAACAACATATTTTATGGCCTACAACATGGCTTTAGATCCTTTAGATCCTCCAGATCCTGTGAAACACAGCTCACCACATTCATACACGATCTTGAATCAAACAACATGCTCCACACTTGAGGAGTTCAAGCAACACATACCCTATGCAGCCCTTGAAGCCCTCATCACACGCTAAAACATACACCAGCTTTTACTTTTTATCTACCAACCCTTGCACACTCCCCCCCCCCCCAAAAATAAAACCCCTTATCACTGTAAATAACCCCTTTTTCACGCCTCTGTGATAGGACCCCCGAGGGCCGCATACTCATCAGCACATTGATGGAGCCCCTGCACCCTAAAGAAGAAGAAGAATTGTGTTTCAAAACAATGACATGTTTTATATGATTGTACCATTAATTCAATAACAGCAGTCTGCCATTTAATCAATATAAGTATCACAATCTGTATATAAAATTACCCCTTATACTATAAGGGGTATTTTTATATACAGATTATTATACTTATATTGATTAAACGGCAGACTGCTGTGGTACCAATATTTCAAATGCAATATTTTCTGATGCACTTAAATCAAGAACAGTTCTTTAATTATTTTTCTATACATGTATTATACATTCTCTTCTGGTTTAATGTTTAGTATGAGCAGTCGACAAAGTCTACAGCTTGCTAATGACAATGGAGAACACAAGTTGCTGCTTCAGCTACAGAAGTCTTTCAAAATCGTACAGCAGTGTGTGACGGTCTGGTGTGTGGTCCTGACAGAGTCACGACCACATCTGGTGACGCTCAACAACCTGACGGAGCAGTTTACCTCCTGTTACAGTACATCCAACATACAGCTGGCAGCTATTACATCACAGTTACCAGATGTCAAAGATAAACTTCAGCAGAAACTGCAGGAGGGAGTTGATGCTAAACTTGACGTTATGCAGGAAAAGTTGTAAGTTCCTTGCAGAAATGTTTTTGATATACATGCAATATTTCTTTCATGACATATTTGTTTGTTAATGCAGTTAAATACAAATGAAATCAATAGAAGGCTTGTTGTCCATCATATTTTATTTTATTAGTGTTTTATTAAGAATAGCAGGGAAATTAATTCAAGGCAAGTAGAAATATCTTGTCTAGGGGAATTTGATATTGGATAATTAAGGTTTTCATTTTACCTAAATACTTTCTTTTTATTCATCACTAAAACATGATATTTTATAGATAATTATCTTACTGAACACTCTGTGTGCTACTTTATTATGGGTAATAACAATTGCATTTGCATTGGAGTTATTAAAAAGAGAACATTTTCTACCCAGGTCTGTATTACATGGATTGTGTGAAAAGATATCAAAGCAGTGCAAGTATTCTACAGATCTTTATACCAAGAATCATGTAAAGCTGAACTTGGTAATGGTAACCACAGCCACTGCAACCCGGCCATCCATAGCAGACATGCTTGAATGGCTTCAGGATACAGAACAATTGTTTCTTCAAAGGTAATAATGCTTTAGTGGTGTTTGAAGATTTGTTTAAAGTAAAAGAATTATTGTCGTTATTACCAAGGTAAGTATGAAAATTACTGATATCAAATTTCCTGATACACTTTTTCAGTACTTGAGCTTTGTTTTTGCTGGATAGATTTCTCACTTTAATACCTGTTTAAGTAGGGTACATTACATACTTTCTATAATTTATTTTTGGTCCATGGTTTCAGGATTTTTGTTTTACTATACAGTACATATAATTAGTTTTCTGTAAGGATATACACTTGATATACTAATGTAGTGCAATGTATTTGTATTTTAAACCAACCTAGGTGATACTTCCCTATAATGGTTTAAAATACTTGTATTATGTTTTATTTGAATAACCATTAAATATATATATATATAAACCTTAATCAGATTATTTTCATTTTTATCTTGTGATTGATCTGGCTTACTTTGATGTAGGTACTGGGCTCGGACATATATCCTTGACCAATTCAGGTTGGAGGACAAGTCAACCCACCTGTCCGACAATGCTATCTGGAGTTATGATGACAAGGACATCCAGAAACAGTTCCAAGGTAAATACAAGTACAATGGAATAACATCATCAATAGCATAGCACCTACGCTTTTATGTAAGTAAACAAACCTGAAAATTACATTAAATATAATTTCTTTCTCTTTGTTTGTATGGCATCTTGATATGTTTATGTAATGTACCAACAATGAAAAAACACTTTAAATTCATTTTGTATTCACAGGATATAAAAAGGATGTTTTAAATATCCTAACATACTTTTAGCAATATGATTTAAAAATTAAATTCATATGTGACCATATATAATAATTAATCTTAATGTCTTTGTTACAGTTGTCTCCCCTCCCTTGTAAAACTATCAACATATTTCTTGTTTCAGAAAAGTTGTCATACCTGTCCTTTTTCTTGGAGGAAAAGCTTTGAATGGAGTTAACACACCCACACAGCATGTATGTGGTTGACTCAAATACCAGAAAAGCCAGTCTGTGTTAAGTCAGAGTTGGTACTCAGCCTTCTCAGTGATGGTTAACACTAAGCCAGAGATAATGACCAGGTATGGATACCAGGAAGTCATTTTCCAGTGGTGAATGATTTCTCGTTTCGGTGGTCGCAGCAAACATGTCCTATTGCCACAAAAATGAGCTGTGAGAACTTCAGGACTGATATGGTATGGTCATCAGTTCAGCTGTCCACTTCGGCACTTCCAATAAGTGTGTCTTTTGACAAGATATATGAGCTTTTGACCAGTTTACTTTACAGTACAACTAGCCATGTGAAGGAAGTGATTAATATCATCCAAAACAGACTTGACAATTGCAAAGATGCATTGTAAAGGCTAAAAAATGTAAAACAGTATGGATGGAATGCCTTTGTGTTGGTGATTTGGAAAGGCTTAAGATATTGTAGTGATGGACTTATTTAAATGATTATGACTAAGATCTAAATTGAATATTGAAAACTTAATTCGACATACTGTGTTTTATGTCTGATAAACGGAACAATATGATACAGAATAAATGCCTGTATTTACTGTCTAGTTATGTTGGCATTTTGTAGGACAATGAATATTTAACAATGAATATTTAAATCTAAATATAGTATCCTTTGCTTCATTTTTCTTTTCTCCAAATTATGAATCTTTCCTCTTTTTCTTTCTCCCTACTAATTCTATAAAGCCTCCCTCTCAGTGTATCACTAACTGCTTCATAATGCTAGATGTTTTACTAGACACCATACTATGGCAATACGTTTTTCTGGACTTATTTAAACAAACATCTGACCGATTACAATTGTTGTATCACACTATTACCCTTATTTTTTCCCCTTTGCAGACACCAACAATTTTATACATTTCACACACGCTTCTTGTCGAAACCCTGTTGTATGCTTTATAAATTAAGACAGAGAATTTTGAATGAACCCATTGTAACCTGTTTAATCTTGACAAGTTGATGCAGAAAAGGTAATACAAGTATAGTGGCTGACAATCCTGGGGGCTGAGGAGTAAGGTCAAAAGTGTTCTGATGAGTGTCCATAACCGTGATCAAATTGGATATCGACCCCAAATTACAGCGACTTTCCTGGTTATATTGGGAATTGCCACAATCATCAAATTGGGAAAATTTCGCAACATAAAGGGGAAAATTGGGAAAATTTGTAAAACCACATATTAAAAAAACCCCTTAAAACACCAAGTAATACTGTATTATGTTTTTTAAAAGTTACAAAAAGATAGTAACACTGCAGTTACACACATTATTATAGACATACTGAGCAATGTGGGCTGGCCACCACTTGAAAAACGACGTAGGAATATGTACTTCTGTACTCTCTATAAGATTGTACATAATCAAATGGCCGTTTCATAAGGTACACTGATATCTCCCACACGTCTCACCAGGCATGCCCACACTCACTCCTTCCAGGTACCTTTATGTAACAGTTACACCTAGATTAGAGAACAATCATTTTCCCCCTAAAACCATATCAGATTGGAACCGCCTTCCTCCAGATATCTGTGAACTAAACAAACTCAGTACCTTTAAAACTGCCATAGCACTAACATCTTAGACTCAAAGTATTCTAAGCCATGTACATTATAAGTTTTTAATCAATGTTCTTTTTATCCCTTGGTTAGACCTTAAAATAACATAATCTTCTGCCCTTTATGGTTAGCGTTTGGCTTTCTGAAGTGACTATGACTGTCTGTGGACATCTTTTCCGACTCGTCATTGTGACTGTCGCCGGAGTCGGTCTCAACATTTGTTTGAACATCAGCCGGTTCAGATTTGTGGTCAACGACAGAAAGAGCAGTGTTCACTTGAGAAGGATTAATTTATAGGCCGACTTAAAGTACAGGGATCGACTTACAAAACGGAACTAACAAAATCCGGATTTGAAAAAAACGGTGCATTGATTGGGATTTTTTTTTTCTGAATTGGGAATTTCCCCAACTTTTTCCAATTTGGAACGTTACAGTTATTCCCTGAAATATTAAAGTACATGGGTCCTGACAAAGTAATGTAATATTGTGTTAGATATCCAAGAACCATACAATTAACAAATTTGGCTCATTTATGGTGAAGAAAGCTTTTTTGCAAAAAATTCGTTGAAATCTGTTCCATGATTTTAAGAAGGAGAATCGTTTATGAAAGCAGGACGGATAACCTCATGTGACGACAGGCAAAAGATGATTGCAGTAACCTAATTAACAGTATATCATAACACAAGATTCAAAATGTAGTAAACAATTTTATTGTCGGACACTATATAATGTTTGGCATGAAATGTCAATAGTGTTGTAATATACACACAACTACTGATCCATCGTCTATAGTACAAATCAGTACAGATCTCCTGCCATACACTGATCTATTGTATATAGTACAAATCAGTACAAATCTCCTGCCACACACTGATCTATTGTATATAGTACCAAAAAAGTACAAATCTCCTGCCACACACTGATCTATTGTATCTAGTACAAAACAGTACAAATCTCCTGCCACACACTGATCTATTGTATATAAGTTATAGTTTCACAATGTAGTGTGCATCATTAAACTTTCCTGTCGGACAATTATTGATATAACTGTTGTTAATGTAACAGAGGTCATTTTTTTTTAATGCCTCCTCTAGGAGTTGAACCCGGTACCTCTGGCTTACTAGTCTTACGCTCTACTGAATGATCTAAAGAGAAATTCTCCTTAGCCGAGTCGGTAGGAAGCGGCTAGTATTTTACCAAGTTGACATTAGTTCATAGTTCATGATTGTCAGAAATTTTGACATATCCAGAATTTTAAGTAAATATTTATACAATTATAACTTTACATTAATGAGTAACCTTTGTTTATTTAATGTTCTCTTCAATGTTTCCATATTCAAGGAACATTATCAACTCAAGTATTTTTCCCTATAAAGAATTTAGAATTTTTCAATAACGGTAGTGACCGCAGTGTGTACACTAAAGTCACTTAAACATCTCACAATATATTTGAAAAAAATAATACATTTATCAGCTATCACAGATTGTTTTGTAAATATCATCTATATATTATTATTTACATGTATATAAAATCATAAACACTTACTGTAATCATATATATGTATAAATATACTGTTATCAGTAACAGATCATGTTTAGTAGATTATAAAGGATGTACAAGCTTTATTCTATATCTATCAAGGATACAAACAAATAGCAAAAAGGTGATCAGGAAGCTTTCCACATGGTTATAGGCCAATACAAACATACAAAGAGTACACACAAAACATTTTAAAGTACTGTTCAACCTATAAGTATTTTTATCCTGACTACGTAAAAGTCGCATGCTGTTTATAAATCATTTTCAACATACATGGTGTTGAACACATGACTTTGTATTTAGCCAACTTAGAAAAGCTCATCATAGATATCTACACCACATTTGTGTAAATACTCATACAAAATGTAAAGATATTCTGTAGCTAACAGCTGGGTACACCAAATTGTATATAGAAAATGTTAATGACTTCAACTCACCTCGTGTAAATGCCTGGTAAACCCCAAACCCAGACTTCATACTGCTGAAAGGACATACTGTATCATAGAATGGGGATAGCAGGAGCCATATTACGCCATATGTACCCTCAAAACTGAAATGGCCTAATTATCAACATCTGAAGAAATATTAATAAATTACATTTTGGAACTGGGCCCTAATTAACAAAGAATAAACTGTAAATAATATTGTTTAGCCGTCCTTATCACTGCTGTATGGTTTACAATACCTTCAGTCAGGAAAACTCTGTTACTTTGGTTATATACATGGTCTTTCAAACAAAAGTGACTGCAAACAATGATCTATTTACAGCAAGGATATTGTTGAATACAGTCTGATAGAATGTAATAGCAATGTCAATAGAAGGTAGTATACACAGTATCATTTATCGCTTTTGTATCACTAAATGATTCAATGTACCATGCAGCTGTTTAGGTTATACTACCTGAAAATGGTGAGCTCTTGTATTTATTACTCAAAAGTAACACTGTCAAAATACCAACACTCGGCAACAAAACCTAGCAGCTTTGATAACTATAGGTAAAGCATTCAGCAAAAAACTATGATGTCTCTGGAAAAAACACCCCAGATGAACTGATTCAGTAAAACAACATTCATTTGTACTTTAGCATGAAGACTGGTCACATTCTACATATATGTATACATAACCAAGGTCACATTCTGAAGTGTCTCCTCTTGGAGTTGAGCTGGTTACTAAGTTCAGTACTCTATTAATTGAGAGCTAATAGGCAAGTGATTAGATCATTAACTACTGTGACATATATTAACATTGAATTTTGGTACCAGGTATAATAACCAATTTAACATTTGTAATTTTATTCTAGTACAATTCCTCACTAATGTGCCTCGCGCGTTAGTTTGAATTTAGTTTTTTCAATATTAAAAAATTCATAAATTTTTCAGAATTTTACATTGATGAAAAAATGTATAACTACACAGCCTGTAAATGCAAGCTTCTCAGAAAAATAGATATAAACTTTAAGATTATACGCAATGAAGTTTATTATGAAATAGAACTACGTCCAATAAGGAAAAACACAACATCAACATGATGTCAACCTATAGTGACCATGATATAAAAAAGAATGGCACCAAAGTCGATTGTATGTAAATGCTGTGAAAATCTTTCTTCACTCCAGTAACAATTCCTCTGAGAGTCATTATTATTTTAATGTCGTCTCACCACACGTTAGTCGTCAGAGTCGGAGTTATTGCTGTGGAGGTCCCAGTTTGATCGTTTCTTAGAAATGTTCTCGCCCTCTTTAAAGGCACGCTGTAACTTAAGTAATGTTTGTACCATGCGGTCAGATTCAGTGTGGCCCTCAAAGTGTTGTTGTGCCTTCCGAAGCTCTTGTTTTTCACGGTCCTCAATAAAACTTTCCTGATTTTGTTTTTCCCGCACGGTCTTTCGCTCACGGTCCTAAAATGTATTATTTTACATCATGTCTAGAACTGAATAGTAAAATGTTTACAATATAATGTATATTTCAGAAATTTCTACAAAGCAAAATCCAAGTCCCTGAGTCATCTTTGCTCCATGGGATTCAGTTATTTCATGATTTCCTTCTATAATTTCACTTAGAGCTCAAAAAAATTTGATGGTAATTAACACATGGAAAATGCCTACAAAATTCTCTATTTTATTAATAATGTGCTAGTAAATAGTCAAACCTGCCTTAGCATATTTCGCCTAGCTACAGTTCTAGGGTATATAAACTCTAACAAACACAACTGTTTGAAACGATTGTTTTTGGGAAAAATATCTGTTATTGAAACAAGATCTCACCCGGAGTCCTATGTCGTAGGGATCGCTGACATGGATGAGCGGTTCTATCCTGTGCTTGGGTTGTTGGTATCCTGGGGCAGGGGGTATCACAGTATCTGGTGGTTCTATCCCAGCATTTCTGTAGATCTCCACAAGTCTGTCAGACACATAATTTTATCACAAACTTTACTCTTTATCCTGATAAACTCTAAATACATAGGCTTATTCATTTCTTGAAAAAAGTTTTTTCAATAAAAATGTCCCAATGCACATAGTATGTTATTTGTAAATTTTAAGCATGGTAGAGTAAACCAAATTTAAATGTTCCCTAGAGGACCAGAAGTGCAGGTACAATTTGTGTAGAGTTTACTGTTCACAAGACAATTGCTCTTCATGGGACACTTCTATGACTTTAGTATAAGCAAGAAGTCCCAATAAGCTTGTTTGTAATTTTAAAAACAGATTTTACTGTTTCCAATTTCAGATTTGAGTAAAATCAGATTGTGACTCTTTATTTCTAAAAAAACAGTTCTGATTTGCCAATCGCCGTGAGGTTAAGAGTGTTAATTGACGTATATTAATGTGATATGCAGTGTGCCAGTGGGGGCTGGGGTGGTGTCAGTCATTTCAGTCAGACCTCTTTACAGGGATTTTAAATAACAATTTAGATATTAGTATATATCTCGGTGCATTGAGTTGGTTAATAAGAATTTTCATCCCATTTTTAATTCATGTTCAAGTTAAACTGCCCTTATCATATAATCTTTAGTATAATTTCTTTCTTAATATTGTCATCCAGTATCTATGATAAGACATTTATGGATGATGTTCACAAGACAATTCCTTGCCATTGGACACAACTAGGACTTTATAAGTGGCTTTGATATTATTATTATTTTGGTGTGTGAACTTCCAATGATCAAATATTGATCATGATGTGACATATGGGCGAGGACCATTCAATCCCTGATGAAGAGCTAAGCTCGAAAGCTTGGACATTGAGTTACTGTTGCTATTTATTTTATGTTCCTTGTGGAAGCTTTGTGATATATATATATATATATATATATATCAATAATAACCCTTTATTTAATCTGGAATCTACCCCCAAGGCCTTGGAATGACAAAAAATAAGTTCAAAATTCCTTGAACTCATAAAGTAAGATAAAAAATATCGACAATTTAAAAAAAAAAAAAAAACCTACAGAAAACAATACTTACTTGCTATAGCGCTCACCCCGCCTCTTTCTGACTTCATCCCAGCTGGGGAACATGTAGTTGCCCGCTAAAGGTGGGGTGCTTTTGTAGCCCTTGAGAGGTGTAACCTCGGTGTAACGGACCATGGCTCCGTGCCCTCGTGGACAGTGGAAGTATCGTTTGCCCTTAAATACTCCATTATGTACAGAGTTCACTGTTGGAATTGAGAATAAGAAAAATGAATCTTTTTTAACTCTTTATATGACATCAATGTATCCATGTGTCTATTATGAGACAAGAGAATAGCTACATATTTGTTACACTATAATAACAAGAGGTCCAGAGGACATATATTGCTCACCTTGACAATCCTATTTAAGCAATCATGCTAAAATATTCTTGTTCAAAGTAATATTGCAAATAAATCTCAGCAGGTCCAGAAGCCAGGACTTGTTCTAGTAATATGATTATGTTTGTCTCTTCACACCCAGCAAGCACATATAAGCTACAGGGTGGTGATCTCAGCTGATTCTTAGTTAGGTCCCAAGAACTACATCAGTCCAGAAAAAGTCATTTGAGGAAATTGTTGAAGATGGGAGAAGGGTGCCATGGTATGACATAACCTCACGTTTTTCAGACCAAGTGAACTAAAAATTGATAAAAAAAGTACTTGTTTTATAAAATGTCTTGAAATAAGCTAAAGATCATTATGTTAGTCTTTGTTCCAGAAATTTAATGTTCATGTCTTTAGTTAAAGGTGTTCTCTAGTAATTTAAGTCTGATAAACCAATTCCTCAGAATTACATAATACTTTACCATTGTCATCAAGCTTGACCCCTACATACAACTGTGGGGCGATGGAACTGTCGTCAACAACACCCACAAACTTCACGGTGCCTGTAAATTTAAACAATCAGTCTTAAATTTTGCATTTACCGTGACAGACAAAACACTGGTACACAGATAAAAAAAAGGGCAGTTTTAACTTCACATCGACATATATCCACTGATATCAACACATACATGATAAATGAATGGCATCATTGACTTCAGTATTAGTAATTTTTCCTTATTTGAAGAGATACCATTTATGTTTTGTTTGTGCTGACAAATACAAGAAAGAAGGGAAATGGATTGGTGAAGACAGGGGGGGTGGGG